CACGGACCCAAGATGGCCGCCCGACGGCTTCCTCTGCTGCCTCCGGGGGCCGGAAGTGACGACACCGCTGCCTCCCGGGGTTCGGCCAATCAGCGCGGCCGAGGAAGCCGGCCGGCGACTGTTGCTAGGAGAGACTTGGTCCTGCCCCGGGCCCAGGGGGCGGCTGTGGGCCGGGAAGGGCTGGCGGGCCCGACGGGTCCGGGCGAGCGGCAGGCTCCCAGCATCCAGGGCACGCGGGCACCCCCAAAAGAGCCGGCTAAGGCCCTGGGCGGCGGCCCGAGTCCTATCACTGGGTTGGCGTTTACAGTGTGGACCGAGGGCCTGCTCTGTGGCAAAGCTGCCCCGGACCGTGCAGCACCGAACAGAGTCCCGGCAGCAATGATAAGGCCAGGGCGGCGGGGAGGTGCCGGGCTCCTGCTTCATTGACGTTGACCGGGGAGTGGAGGACTCGGTCGCCCTTCCTGCCTCTGGCTGGGGGCAGCCGGGCTGGGCTCGGCATCCGGGTGGCAGCAGGCGCGTCCTGCTCTGGAGGAGCTCGCTGTCTGCAGGAAGGTGGACCGAGACCAGCTAAATGCCATCGGGAAGGAAGGTGCTCTACCGGAGCTCTACGAGGCTAGGGGCCCGGGGGAGGTGTGGCGAGCAAAGCCCTAGAAACCCGCGGGGACCGGTTCCTACACGCCCCGGGAGGTTCTACTACACCAGGAGCTGGAGCACCCCCTGGGGCCCCGCCGGCACTGAGCTCAGTGGACGCTTGCAGCCTGGGACGCTGGACATGCTACCTCCCCTGGAAGCCTTCCTTGTCCCCTCTCCTCCGCATGTGCCCCGTGGCCCTGCCCAGAGGCTGGCCAGCGGGGGATGGAGTCCATGGAGCAGGACTCTGAGGAAGGAGATGGATCGGTATGGGTTGGAGCAGCATGAACTGTTATTGACAGTCTGCCTTGTGGGTCCATTACATTTGTTGCCTCATTTACCTATAAGATGGGCAGGCACACCTTGAGATTTGAAGTCTAAACAGGTAATAGTGACTTGACCCAAGTACCCGAGTTGGACTGCAGGGCTGGATTTTGAACCCAGCTCTTTTTTTAAAATATATTCCATTGATTTTTTACAGAGAGGAAGGGACAGGGATAGAGAGTTAGAAACATCAATGAGAGAGAAACATGGATCAGCTGCGTCCTGCACACCCCCCACTGGGGATGTGCCCGCAACCAAGGTACATGCCCTTGACCGGAATCGAACCTGAGACCCTTCAGTCCGCAGGCCAACGCTCTATCCACTGAGCCAAACCGATAAGGGCTGAACCAAGCTCTTAAAACTTCCTAATGCATAAGCCCTCATGCATAAGCGCCTAATGCATATACCAAATAGGTATATCCGGTTTTAGTTTTTCTCTTTTGTCCCCTGAATGTGAACCGGCTGGGACGTTTCCTGCTCTGTGAAACACACGTCTTTAAACACCAGAATCATCACTCGAAAGGACTGAGATGCAAGTGAGGCTTCCATCTCCCTCTCTCTGGCAAGTGTTCACAGGCTCAGGGTAGTCCAATTTAAAATGTTATTATCGGGGACTCTCTCCCCCTCCCCACGTGGAGTCTGCTTGTTTCTCAATAAATTTCCCTCTTTTCCTATAAAAAGTAAAATGTTATTGTCTTTCTCCCTCATTGGCCAAGCAGAAATGGTTGAATTCTCTTTAAATGTATGTCACAGTTCAACTGAAAAGTGGCTTATCACGGTATTTTGGGAACTCCAGCAGGGGTATTTGGCCCAACATGGGTTGGGCCAGGGAAGCTCCCTAAGCAGAGGTGTTTCTGCTGAGTCTAAAACAGCCGTGGGCAAACTACGGCCCGCTGGCCGGATCCGGGCCGTTTGAAATGAATAAAACTAAAAAAAAAGACCGTACCCTTTTATGTAATGATGTTTACTTTGAATTTATATTAGTTCACACAAACACTCCATCCATGCTTTTGTTCCGGCCCTCCGGTCCAGTTTAAGAACCCATTGTGGCCCTCGAGTCAAAAAGTTTGCCCACCCCTGGTCTAAAAGCATGAGCAGTTAGCCAGGTGAGGAGGTGGGAGGGCAGTCCGAGCAGCAGGATGGCCTGTACAGGGGCATAGAGATGAGAAACAACATGGCGGGCGTGCATCCATGTCAGCAGAATGACAGGTGAGCCTGGAGGGTTAGGCAGGAGCCAGGCCAGGTTTGGCTGCAGCGTGGCACTCTGTTCTGTGCCAATGACAGCAATGTCAACTAGGTCAGCTGGGAAACACCGTCAGGACCCATAAATGGTGTCAGCCTCGGGCAGGAGTGCCAGGGAATGAGGTTTCCACCTAGATCAGGGGTTCTCAACCTGTGGGTCGCGACCCCTTTGGGGGTCGAACGACCCTTTCACAGGGGTCGCCTAAGACCATCGGAAAACACATATATAATTACAAATTGTTTTTGTGATGAATCAATATGCTTTAATTATGTTTGATTTGTAACAATGAAAATACATCCTGCATATCAGATATTTACATTACGATTCATAACAGTAGCAAAATTACAGTTATGAACTAGCAATGAAAATAATTTTATGTTTGGGGGTCGCCACAACATGAGGAACTGTATTAAAGGGTCTCGGCATTAGGAAGGCTGAGAACCACTGACCTAGATGGTTTCTCATTGAACAATTATTTAATTCACACATTAAATAATGAGTCAGTGAATGCCAAAAGGTAGTTAAGCTGACACATCCTCACTCACGATGCTTCTGGTTTTCATAAAGTTGAGAATTAAAGAAACGCTTTGAGCTTTTCATTACACTTATGTCAAAGGACATCATCCTATATAATAAAAGCATAGTATGCAAATTGTCCCCTTGGCAGGGAGGTTGTCCAGGAGTTCAACTAGGAGGCGGAGGTAGAGAGGCCCCGACTGGCAGATGGCAGCCACTAGGGACCCTGGGGAAATTCATGCACTGGGCCTCTAGTGGTACTATAAAGAGCTGGGGTTGAGAGGCAAGGTGTGCCTGTTATATGCGCACGCACACACACACACACACACACACACACACACACACACACACAGAGGAGGAAGAGAAGTAGAAAAAGAAAAAAAAAGTGTCCAGCCAGGTATGGCTCAGTGGTTGAGTGTCCACCCATGAACCAGGAAGTCACAGTTCCATTCCGGGTCAGGGCACATGCCTGAGTTACAGGCTCAAACTCCAGTAGGGGGCATGTAGGAGGTTTAGGACCCTGCAGCCCTGTGATCTGGGGACACTCCAGAGGCCCCTCCTCAACCCCAGCCACAGATGCCCAGGACAGGCCCCTCTGCCCCCCAGCACCCACGGGGCCCCCCAGCCTCCCTCAGAACCTGCTGTTCCCCGCCCACCATGCTGGAGAACCAGAGACACCCCTGGCCCTGATCTGAGGGGAGACTAGCAGCTAGAGGTGAGCCAGGGGACAGGGTAGAAACCTCTGACTGACTTCTTTCCCTGCCCAAAGCCTAGAACAATTCATGGTCGAAGCAGCCTGGGGCATTTTTCCTTTAAAATAACCAACAACAGCCCTGTGACTCAGTGGTTGAACATGACCTATATGAACCAGGAGGTCAGGGTTCAATTCCCAGTTGGGCACAGGCCCAGGTTGCAGGCTCCATCCCCAGTGTGAGGTGTGCAGGAGGCAGCTGATTAATGATTCTCTCTCATCATTGATGTTTCTCTCTCCCTCTCCCTTCCTCACTGAAATCAATTATATATATATATATATATAAAAATTTTTAACTTTTTTTTTTAATATACTTTATTGATTTTTTACAGAGAGGAAGGAAGAGGCATAGAGAGTCAGAAACATGGATAAGAGAGAAACATCAATGAGTTGCCTCCTGCACACCCCCTAATGGGGATGTGCCCGCAACCAAGGTACATGCCCTTGACTGGAATCGAACCCGGGACCCTTCAGTCCACAGGCCGACGCTCTATCCACTGAGCCAAACCAGTTAGGGCAATTTTTTAACTTTTTAAAAAGGAAGAACAAAACCCTCAAAGGTAGCCTCTCCTCCTGACCTTACATGGACTGCTCAGGGGCTGGGCATGGCGAGACGGCACGGAGCCCACCAAGTCGTTAGAACAGGATTCCGTACCGGCGGTGCAACCTCAGCCATGAGCTGTCCAGGGTTGGCCTTCTGAGTCAGGCCTGAGTCCCACCTACACGCCCTCCCCGTGGGGCTGCCGGACTCAAAGCCTCCTTTCACAAAGAGGGCAGGAGCATGGATGACTAGCAGTGTGTAATGTGTCTGAGCTCAGATGAATAATTGATGTGCTTGAATCTTAATAAGCAGGAAGGTTTCTGTGGCCAGGGAAGCCCAAAAGAGATTCTGGTAAAGCAAACTCTCGAATGTGGACCTAAGGCAGGCAAATAAACATAAGAACAACAACAACAAAACTCCAGAACTCCCCTAAAAACAGAAACCTATACACACATATACCCACATAATTTATAGGTCAAAGAAATCAAGAAGGAACATGTAGAACTGAATAGTAATGAAAATTTTTTTCACATCAGAAGTTGTAGGATACAATGAAAGCAATATTTAGAGAGAAAATTTTAGTGTTATATGTTAAATACGAAAAAAGGGCTAAAAATTAATAAGCTATGTATTAACATTATGTAGTTAGAAAAAAAATACAATATGCCAAAGAAAGCAAAAAGGAAAATGAAGGCCTGCCTGTGTGCCTCAGTTGGTTGGAGTGTAATCCCGTAAACCAAAAAGGTGGCAGGCACATACTGATTTCAGGTTTGATCCCTAGTTGGGGTGAGTCAGGAGGCAACCAATCAGCTTCCCTCTCCCATCGCTGTTTCTCTCTCTCTTCCCTCCATTGCTCTCTAAATTAAAATTTATAAAAGGACAAAATAAAAGCAGAAATTAATGAAATAGAGAACAAAGATAAAATGAGATCAACAAAACCATTTGAAAAATACTAGTTAAAAAGGTAAAACTCGCTTTTTGCGTTTTCTCTTTCGAACCGGCGCCAAGCCATGGGTATCTCTCGGGACAACTGGCACAGGTGCCGCAAGACCAGAGGCAAGAGGAAGCCCTGCCACAAGAAGCGGAAATATGAGCTGGGACGCCCTGCCGCCAACGCGAAGATTGGACCCCGCCGCATACACACAGTCCGTGTGCGTGGCAGCAACAAGAAGTACCGGGCGCTGAGGCCGGTGGGCAACTTCTCCTGGGGCTCCGAGTGTTGTACGCGCAAAAGGAGGATTATTGATGTTGTCTGCAACGCATCCAACAACGAGCTGTTCCACACCAAGGCCCTAGTGAAGAACTGCATCGTGCTGGTTCACAGCACACCGTACCGACAGTGGTACGAGTCCCACTGCGCACTGCCCCTGGGCCGCAAGAAGGGGGCCAAGCTGACTTCTGAAGAGGAAGAGATTTTGAACAAAAAACGATCAAAGAAAATTCAGAAGAAATACGATGAGAGGAAAAAGAATGCCAAAATCAGCAGTCTTCTCGAGGAGCAGTTCCAGCAGGGCAAGCAGCTTGCATGCATCGCTTCAAGACCAGGTCAGTGCGGTTGAACAGAAGGCTATGTGCTCGAGGGCAAGGAGCTGGAGTTCTGAGGAAAACCAAGGCCCGGAAAGGCAAATAAGTCCTCTTCCCTCTATCTTAGCCCGTGTAATAAAGGTGTTTATCCAAAAAAAAAAAAAAAAAAAAAAAAAGGTAAAACTCTAGCCTGGCTAAGAATAAAGGAGAGAAAGCATGAGTAAGGCATTAGAAAATATAACGGAAGACATGATTACAGATGTTGCAGATTCATAAAAGATACCGAAATATTATCAACAAATCTGTGTCAATATTTTGAAAAGATATATAAAATTAATTTCTAGAAACCTATACATCATAACTATCCAAGAAGTAGAAAATGAGTAGTTCTATAACTATTAAAGAAGTTGAAATAGTTTTATCAGCAGTTTTACTAAATTGTCGAAGAACACATGATTTCAGTTTTATGCAAATTCTTTCAGACAAGAATGGTCCAAAATTTATGATCTTAGCAAGCACCTCAGGGAGCTTGGAAAGGAACTGTAAGCCCTGGCTGGTATGGCTCCGTGGGCTGGGTACTGTCCCATGCATGGAAAGGTTGTGAATTCAATTCCCAGTCAGGGCACATGGCCAGGTTTAGGCTTGATCCCTGGTAGAGGGCAGATCGTGCAGGAGGCAGCCGATCAATGATTCTCTCTCATCATTGATGTTTCTCTCTCTCCTCTCTCTTCCTTTCTGAAATGAATAAATTCTTGCTTGCTTTTCTACAAAAAAAAAAAAAAAAAAAAAAGTATTCCCCGCTCAACACACAAACATGTTTGAAAGATCCGGCATTGAAATATCTGAAGCATTATACATGGTAGTGAAGACATGGCAATAACCAAAGTGTCCTTCAATAGATGACTGGATAAAGAGGATGTGATACATAATATATACAATGGAATACTGCTCAATCATAAGAAAATATGAAATACAGTTATTTGTGACAACATAGATCGATCTTGAGAATAAAATGCTAAGTGAAAAATATCAGATGGGAAAAGTCAAGAACCATATGATTTTACTCATATATGGGATCTAAAACTGAAAACAACAATGAACAAACAAGACAAGCAAACAAAAACTCATAGACACAGACAACAGTATGGAGGTTGCCAGAGGGAGAAGAGAGGTAGGGGTAACAAAGGGTAAAGGGGGTCAAATATATGGTGACAGGAGATTTGACATACAATGCAATATACAAATGACGTATACAGAATTGTACACTTGAATCTTATATTATTAACCAATGTTACCCCAGTAAATGTAATTTAAAAGTCAACGTAATTCACCAAAATATTAGAATGGAGAAATCATATGAACACAATACATGCAGAAAAATGATTAAATTTTTCCAGCAAACTAGGAACAGATTGGAACTTAATTTTACTTTAATCAAATTTACCAGAATTTTCCTTTAGAGTTATTTTTATGCAATATAGTGAAGTATGGTAGCAATCATCTCAGGTAGAAACTATAGTTTAACTTTAACCCTGCTGTTTGGCTTCTGTACTTACTTGCTTTGTTTAATAATAGAAGTTATTTTAATTTTCTGAATTATATAAATCACCCCATTCGATTAAATACCCTATTGATTGTAATGTGGATATCCCATGGGTTGTGGTCATACTGGTCTTAGAAAGCACATTTTCCTTTACCTGGGAAGGACAGCACAGTTATTCCAAGGTCAGAGGGCTCCAGTTAACGTGTCCCTGTTGACTTGTGTTCCGGAGAGACCCAAAAACTGTGATTTAGAAAACATGCTGCTTCTGCTTCTGTAAACTGCTTTTTTGCAGACCAGGTTCCTCATTCCAGACCCGAGGGCTCTAGATAATGTGTTTCTGTTAATTCAGTGATCCAGAGACTCCAAACTATAATTTAGATAACATGCTGCTTCTGCTTCTGTAAACTTTTTTTTTTGCAAACCAGGTTCCTCATTCCAAACGTTGGGATGTAATCAATACCTTTGTGATTTTTGCCTATATAAATCTGGTGTTGCCCCATCTTATCACTATGAGATTTGGGAGAGCTGAAATGCCCCCTTATAGTCCCGGATTGCAATAAATGTGACTCTTTAATTTGACTTCTTGAGGCGTCCTTCTGTGATTCGCGGGGTACATTACAACAATAGTAAAATTTTTTTCTGATTTAATCTCCCTAGTAGTTATAGGTCTGGTCAGATTTTGTATTCCTTGGTGAGTAGGAACTTAATTATGTCGCCATGTTGATATCTATATGCCATATAGCTTTATTTTTTTCATCACCATTTATCCCCTCTATGCCCTCTTCCACTATAACCCTCTCACCCTAACCCCATCACCACACTATTGTGCATGTCCTTGAGTTTCTTTCTGCTCAATTCCCCCAACAGAGCTGTCTGCCTACTCTCCTATCTATGAAACACTTTTTTTTTTGGTTGTCCATTAAATTCTACATGAGTGAAGTCCTATGGCATTTCTCTTTCTATGACTGGTTTATTTCACTTAGCACAATTTTCTGCAGGTCCCTCTGTGCTATGGCAAAGGGTAAAATTTTCTTCCTTTTTATGGCAGAGTAGTATTCCATTGCGCACCACAGGTTTTTAGCCACTCATTTACTGGACACTTGGGCTGCTTCCAAATCTTGGCTACATGCCATCTAGCTTTATTGTCCCTCATTATCTGCATTACTGTAGTCTTTTGTGTTATTTGATCTTTTGTATTAAATGCTTATTTTCTCATTTTTTTATATATTCTATTATCTTTGTGGTTACCATGGGGATTACATTTAACTTCCTAAAGTTATAAAACTTTAATTTGAATTTATGCCAACTTAATTTTACTAAAGCATGTAGAAAACAAAGTTACAATTGTTAAAATACTAGCTTTTATAATTTCCCATCTACTTTTATTGAGATCTTTATTTCTTCTTATGGCTTCCTCTCTAGTGTCCTTTCACCCTGCAGGGCATTTCTTGCAGGGCAGGTCTAGAGGTAACAAACCTCATCAACTTGTTTATCTGAAAATGTTTTAATTCTTCCCTCACTTTCTTAATTATATATTTTTATTGCTTTTAGAGAGGAAGGGAGAGGGAGATAACATCAATGATGAAAATCATCAATCTTCTGCCTCCTGCATGCCTTCCCACTGAGGACTGAGTTTGCAACCGGGCATATGCCCTTGACCAGAATTAAACCCAGAATGCTTCAGTCCCCAGGCCAACTCTATCCACTGAGCCAAACCAGCTAGGGCCCTCAACTTTTTTTTTTTTTTTTTAATATATTTTATTGATTTTTTTTTACAGAGAGGAAGAGAGAGCCAGAAACATCGATGAGAGAGAAACATCGATCAGCTGCCTCCTGCACATCACCCACCGGGGAAGTGCCCACAACCCAGGTACACGCCCTTGACCGGAATTGAACCCGGGACCCTCCAGTCCACAGGCCAACGCTCTATCCATTGAGCCAAACCGGTTTCGGCAACTTTTATTATTGATTTCAGAGAGGGAGAGATAGAAGCATCAATGATGAGATTCTTTGATCAGCTGCCTCCTGCAGCATGCACCCTACTGGGGGTTGAGCCTACAACCCTGGAATCAAACCATGACCTCCTGGTTCATAGGTCAAAGCTCAACCATTGGGATACACTGGCCAGGCAACTTTTTAAAGCATTTTGAGTATATTAAACCACTACCTTCCATCCTCTGAGAAATCTGATAATCTTACTGGGGTGGGGGGGATCCCTGTATGTGATGAGTTGTTTCCCTCTTGCTGCTTTTAAGATTGTTTTTTCAAGAGTCTTTTTTAATTTTAATATATTTTATTGAGTTTTTACAGAGAGGAAAGGAGTGAGATAGAGAGTTAGAAACATCGATGAGAGAGAAACATCGACCAGCTGCCTCCTGCACACTCCCCACTGGGGATGTGCCCGCAACCAAGGTACATGCCCTTGACAGGAATCGAACCTGGGACCCTTCAGTCCGCAGGCCGACGCTCTATCCACTGAGCCAAACCGGTTTCGGCTAGAGTTTTTTTTTTTAATATATATTTTTATTGATTTCAGAAAGGAAGGGGGAGGGATAGAGAGAAACATCAATGATGAGAGAGAATCATTGATCAGCTGCCTCCTGCACACCCCCAACTGGGGATAGAGCCCACAACCCAGGCATGTGCCCTTGACTGGAATCGAACCTGGGACCCTTCAGTCCGCAGTCCAACGCTCTATCCACTGAGCCAAACCAGTTAGGGCCAAGATTCTTTCTTTCAAAAATCTGATTGTGACTCTCTGAGTTGATCTGGCTTGTAATTTGTTGAGCCTGTCTTTCGTTTACTTTGGGAAGTTTTCAGCCACTATTTTTTTTTTTTTAAAATATATTTTATTGATTTTTTACAGAGAGGAAGGGAGAGAGATAGAGAGTTAGAAACATCGATGAGAGAGAAACATCGATCAGCTGCCTCCTGCACTTCTCCTACTGGGGATGTGCCCGCAACCCAGGTACATGCCCTTGACCGGAATCGAACCCGGGACCTTTCAGTCCGCAGGCCGACGCTCCATCCACTGAGCCAAACCGGTTTCGGCAGCCACTATTTCTTGAGATCCCCATAACAAATGTTGGTCTTCTTAGTGGTGTCCTACAGGTTACTCAGGCTCTGCTCTATTTACTTTTATTCTATTTACTTTTCTTCCTTTTTCTGTTCTTCAGAATGAATAATTTCCATTGCCCTAGCTAAAAGTCCACTGATTTTTTCCTTCTGCCTTTGATTCCATCTGGTGAAATTTTCATTTGTTATTGCATGTTTTAGCTCCAGAATTATGCTTTTTAAAAAATTCTTTATTAATATTTCCATTTGGCTCAGATATTGTCTTGACTTCCTCATCTTCCTTTCGTTGAGTATCATTAAAATGGCTGCTTTAAAATCTTTGTCCGTGGGATCGGCTATCAGGTCTTTTTCAGGGAGTTTCTGTGGATTTTTTCCTTGGGTGGGCCATATTGCCCTGTTGTTATATATTGCTGTACAC